GAGGAGGAGGAGGAGGAGGAGGAGGAGGAGGAGGAGGAGGATCGTGGGCATCCCCCATGCCATCGCTGTTGTGGCGTTCGCCGCCTCTCCTGGCAGACTCTGGGGCGAGGTGGGCAGGGCCGCGCCTCGTGGAGGCACCTGGGCCCCCAGACCCCCCAACTTCATGATTTTTGCCATGGCGTCGGAAACGCTACGAAAAATCGCTATGCCAAGATCTCGACCTCGCTGTGGCTGCTCCACGGCGAGGTCGAGGCGCGTCGACCCCCAGAGGTCTCGGCCTCTTCCCTGGGGCGTGGCGTGGCGCCCCGAGTCCTCCCTCGACGGCCCCGAGACCCGGACAGGGCCTCCCGAGGCCGAGCTCCGCGGAGGAGGCCCCGCGCTCTGCCCCCGCCGGCCTCGCCGCCGCCGCCGCCCGCGCCGCCGCCGCCCGCGCCGAGAGGCTGCTCGCCCGCCGCGGGCGCCCCGCCGCCCGAGCCGCCGCGGGGGCGCCCGCGGTGCCGCCGGCCCTGCCGGCGGCGCGGGCCTCGGCGGCTCGGCGCCGCGGCGGCCCGGCGCCGTGGCGGCTCGGCCGCCCCGGCGGCCAGCCTCCCGGGCTCGCCACGGGGCGTGCTCGCCGGCCTCCCAGGCTCGCCAGGGCGTGCGACATGTCACCGCACGGCCCGTCGCGGTCCCCGGGCGCTCGCGCCCCGCGCCTCGCCCGAGCCTCCCGCCCCGCAGGGTGGAGCGGCACGCCGTCCGCTCGCGGGGCACGGCGTGTCGCCGGGGCCGCCGCGGCGGCATGCCGCAGCAAGAGTTCCCGGCCTGCAGGACTCCCGGGCGGGGGCCGAGCAGGTGGGGTCCCGGAGCGGTGCGGTGACAGACCGTGCGGTGGCCTCGAAATCCCCCAGGACCTCACCGCACAGTCCGTCACCGCACGGTCTTGGGACCCCAGAGGCCCCTGTCGCCCGGGACGTCCTCGGAGAACGACCCGAGTCCCAAAACCGTGCGGTGACCCCGAATCCCCACCGACTCGCCGCACGGTGTGGTCACCACCCCGTTTGGGGCCCCCCAAGTTTGGCGCTCTGCGCGGCTTTCTTGGATCCGCGCTCGCCCCCCCCCCCCCCCCTGGCGGCGCCTCCGGCGCCGCCCCTGGCGCGCTCCGCGCGCCAGGGCGAGGGGTCAAGCGCAGATCCAAGAAGTCCGCGCGGACCTCCAAAAGTTTATGTTCATGTGGCTTTCTGTTCCTCGATGTTCTCAGAAGCTCCGTGCGGTATGCACTGAAGGCTCTCAGAACAGTTCTGGCAGCGGCCGTCCAGTGTTTTGCAGCGTCGGTTCCTCGTGCTCTGGAGCACCGCTTCTGTGATGGGGGCTTGCTCCTTGGGTTCTGAGAGCATGTCGTGGTGGGCCCATGGGGATGCCCGGACGGTCGGATCGTGGCACGGTCGGACCGAGGCAGAGGGGCGAGGTCGGTTCGGGGAGGGTACCTTAATGCTCTTCGTGCTGGTTCGATGCTTTTGTGCATCCTGGGGGAGGGCACCCTCGAATGTTGTTCAGCTTAGCTGGCGAGGGGCCTCGTGCTCTTGAAGGATGTGCTGCTGTCCTGGGTCCGACCGGAGGCGCATGTGCCAGTGCTGGGGCGGCCAGTCCGCGGCCAGTCCGCGGCGGGCCCCTGCTCCACGGCCTCGGGCCGGCGCCCCGCGGCGGCCAGTCCGAGGGTTGCGATGTTCCAACCTACTTCAGCCTTGGCCACCAGAAAGAATCTCGAGCACCAAGGAAGTGCCGAAACTGGAAGGTGTTCAGGTGTCGGGCCCTGGGAGGCGATACTCGTTCGACACTGTTTCGATACCTTTCTGGGTGCTCGGAATTATGTCCTTCAGTACGATGTGAGCAACATAACCCGAGGAGGGAAGGCCTGCGGCGTCGCGAGAAGCAACCACAGCCAAGGCCCTGGCCCTGTCTCGGGGAAGCGCAAGACTCGAGCACGCCAGAACTCGGGTTGGCCGACGCTTTTCGACGAGCGCGTCCTGGATGTTGACGGTCCAGGTTTCCGTGGGGTGCTTGCAGCAGGAGCTCGCGCCAAATTTCTGATAGGGTCTCGTCATGTCCATGATGGTCAGGAGGGGAAAAAGCACACAGACAATGAATCGTCGACCCCCTGGAAATCATGGGGAACTGTGGGAAGTGGGGGGGGGGGAAGACGAGAACCCATAAAAGATGGGAAAATATGGGGAATGCTGGGAGTTGTGTGTGCGTATTGCTTTGTGTGTCCCTGGGCCCCTTCGGACGGCCCCGTTAGGCGCACCCCGAGCCCCCCGAGCCCGAGTCTCATGTGTCTCCCCCGATTCGGCGGCGAGCGATGGGGGGAAGCAAGAAGGGGCGGGCCTTCTCAGAAGGCTCGGAGGCCCCCCAGCTTGCTGAGAAGTTCTCTGAGCCTTCCCCGAAGGCAAAAAAAAAACTTCCCAGAAGGCGCGAGGGCTTCCGAGAAGTCCCGCCACCTTCTGAGAAGGCGTTCTCCTCCTCGCTTCCCCCGACCGCTGGCCTTAATCTCCGCGGCACGCCGAGCCCCGCTCGACCTGCGAGGGCCTGCCGGGCCCGAGAGCCCGGCCGAGGGCGCAGGAGTCGCGGCAGTCGGGAGCTCCTCGTGGCATCGCCGAGGACGCGTGCGCTGCTGCCCTTGGCACCGCTCGGACGTGTGCATCGTTTCTCGGCGGGGGCCATCCTGGATCATCCAGCGAGAAAGCCACGCACGAAGCCGAAAAAAGCACGGGGAAGGGGCGTCCGAGCGATGGCCAGCATCCCTCGGCGAGGACCCTCGAGGAGCGCCGTGGATCACCCTGCGAGAACTTGCACGCGCGAAGCATCGACGCATGCGCGCGGGGGAGCGGGCGTCCGAGCGACGGCGAGAGGAGGGGATGCCGGGCCGGCTCCACGCGGCCCCCAGGCCCGGCTCAGCCAAGCGGGACCGGAGAGGACAGCCCGATCCCCGTTGCCGCCGACCCTTGTTGCGTGCGCCCCGAGGCCGGCCAGCCTCCCCGAGGCCCAGGCAAGAGCAGACAGAGGAGGCACGCTTCGAATTTCCGTGAGCCGCGGGATGCCTGGCCGATCGAGGCTCGAGGATGAGCGATCGAGGATCGAGGGGGGTGAAGGATCCAGGACCGACATCAGGGCTCGGAGGCGGATCGAGGAGGGAGGTCCACGGGCCGATCGGGTGCCGATGATGACGAGGTACGATTTTTCCACGCGGGGTCCCAGGAAGTCTTGTGGAGGATCACTGGAGAGGAAGCATGTTGCCAAATCATTCCCAGATGTCTAAAACATGTTTTAAACATGTAAACAAAAAAACATGTTTGAAACATGTTTAGAACATTTTTCGTACATTTCAAACACATTCAGAATTCAATGATAGGACTGTCAGGGTGTCCATTGTCGTGGCATCCACAAAGGAAGTCCCGACCCTTCCCCACGGCCGGCTTTTCATCCTGAGCCGTTGTTTCATGGCCCTGGGGCCCGGCGAGGGCCCCCGGAGGCCGAAAGCGTCGGGAATAATGCCTTGGATTTTGTCAGCATGTTGGAGGTGCGGGTCGAGGGGCCCAGGCCCTTAGTCGTTCTTAATAAAGTTGGCTTCTTGTTCTTCATGATCCATTGTTCGTTCTTGACTTGACCAAAACGTTCTAAAAAAACTCCTGGAATGCGGACGTCAGGCAGGCGGCAATGTGACATTTGCATAAAAAATAATTGAAACAAGCAAATTGACAACGGAGAGATCGAGCAGGTGGGCCACAGGCCGATCTTGGACAGGAAAGCGTGACACAACACGGCGCCCAGAAACCCCCAACCAGAAAACGAAAAACGCCCCGAACGCTCTTATCATACAGTGGAGACCCATGCCAAGAAACACCCTGTTTGCCTCCAGGGTGCCCTGGGTTTCCTGGGTTTCGACGGCTTTGCGATGGAAAGCGTGGCGTTCCCGCACCGAAGATCAGTGGACGTCCTGGGGTCTCAGGGCTGTGTTTCTTGCGGAGGGTTTCCTGTGGTCGAGCTCCTACTGTACAGGCCCAGTGTTAAGTCGGGCCTGTCCCTCTACAGGGGGAATCTTCAAAAATACTCAATAGTCTGGGAACTATTTTTTGAGTATTTTGGGGCATCTTTTGAGTTGTTTTGCGTATTTTTATTTTTCCCCCAGAATCCCCTTGTAGGGGGACACGCCCGACTTAAGCCCAGTACCAGGAACCGATCGAGGGGAGCCGCCGCCGCCTGGGCAGGATGATGGGGGTTTTCCACCACCACAAGCTGGAGGGGGGAAGGAGGAGCAGGACGAGGAGAAGGAGGACGAAGAGGAGGAGGAGGAGGAGGAAGACAGGAGGAGGAGGACAAGACGAGGAGGAGGAGGAGGAGGAGGAGGAGAAGAGGAAGAGGAGGAGGAGGAGGAGGAGGAGGAGGAGGAGGACGACGAACAGGAGGGAGGAGGAGGAGGAGGAGTAGGAGGAGGAGGAGGGACCGATCGAGGGGAGCCGCCGCCGAGGCGTCAGCACCGCCGCCGCCCCCGCGGGCGCCGGCGCCGGCCGCGCCGAGCCCGCCCGCGCCGCCGCCCGCCCCGCCGGCACCGGCGCCGCCGGCGCCCGCGGCGCCTTGGGCGCCCCTCGTGGTGCGCCTTCGTCGACCGTCGGCCTCCTCCTCTTCCTCCTCCTCCTCCTCCTCCTCCTCCTCTCCTCCTCCTTCCTCTCTCCTCCTCCTCGTATTCCTCATCCTCCTCCTCCTCCTCCTCCTCCTCCTCCCTTCCTCCTCCTCCTCCTCCTCCTCCTCCTCCTCTCCTCCTCCTCCTCCTCCTCCTTCTCCTCCTCTCCTCCTCCTCGTCCTCCTCGTCGTCCTCCTCGTCGTACTCCTCCTCCTCCTCTCCTCCTCCTCCTCCTCCTTCTCTCCTCCTCCTCCTCCTCGTCCTCGTCCTCATCCTCGTCCTCGTCCTCGTCCTCCTCGTCGTACTCCTCCTCCTTCTCCTCTATCCTCCTCCTCCTCCTTCCTTCTCCTCTCTTCTCCTCCTCCTCCTCCTCCTCCTCCTCCTCCTCCTCCTCCTCCTCGTTTTCTGGCGCCTCCTCCTCCTCCTCCTCGGACCACCGTGCCCTACAGGGTGGTGACACCAGATAGCTGAGCCCACCAACGGGGCTTAGGCGCCCCAAAGCCCAAAGCCATATAACCTCAAGTCCTTCTCCTTATCCTCCTCCCCCTCCTCTTTCTCGTTACCTCCTCCTCTCTCCTTCTCCCCCTCCTCCTCCTCCTCCTCGTCCTCCTCCTCCTCTTCCTCCTCCTCCTCTCCCTCTTCTTTTGACGCTGATCAGACATGAAGAACGGTGCTTGTCGCGTCTGTGTGGCGTAAGCAAAAAAAGAGATAGCCGACTCAGGCCTGCAAGTGAACGAGTTGCGCCTAGCGGGCGCAGTTGAAAACGGATGGGCACAGAAGGTAAAGAAAAATCCAGTGGGCCCGCAAGGGCACAAAGCATGCGCCCGCCAGGCAATGTGGTAGATAGAGGCGACGAAAACCGAATGAATCAGTCACGAATACCGAAGAACGAACCAAACGAAGAGGAATCGAGATACACGTGCAACAGTAGGCCGTGGAGCAAGGAGTGGCGTTGCACTGCTTGGTGTTACCCTGGTCCTCCACCCCTCCAGATCCTACTCCCATCCCCCACCACAGTGTTAGGCTGGAAGGTCATGGCGAGAAGTACGGCTGCGCTGTCGAACTTCAATGGTAAGGTTGGTTCGTGCATGACGGCTGGCTTGTAGCAGCTGGTATGTGAGCTTGTATGTACTTAGTTTGGCGTGTTAGCAGAACGGCTGAGCTAACTGCAAAGCTCTGATATATTGACCAGGTCGGTGTTGGCTGGCCTGAGGTAGGCTGTGCAAATCTGCGCTTGAAACTTGCTGAGGCCAGCTGCTTTTCTCTCCCCCATCAACACCTGACCCACTTCACCCGAACCCGCCGATCCTCCCCCTCAGGTAGCGAGTCATGGCTCGAGAGTAGAGTCAGCACAGAGACTGCCTGGTAACATGCGCTGGCTGACGTAATACAAAATGTGGCAGAGTCAGGTATCAAGATGGTCCAAGTCCTACTGCCTTCGAGGTGGTATTTGGCTGTGTATGAGGCTGGCGCTCGCAAGGTGAACAGATGCTGCTAAGACTTGGCGAGACGCTAGCGACGGTCTGGCAGCAGTTGAAAGGAGAAGTGAGGCCGAACAGTAGAATAAAAGAGAGAAACCAGAGCGGCAGCTGAGGCAGGCAGGTACTGGTCGGGCTGGCTGACGTATGGTGCAACATCAAAAACCACCCCCTAAGCATCCCCCCTTCGATCCCAAATCCAGTCCATCGGGTGAGGTGCCGTGTTTGAAGTCATGCAAAGAGAGGTGGCTGAGACTGGTATAGGCCTTGCTGGCTGGCCGATGTGCTACTGGAAAGGCAGAGTTGAGTAATCCGTGCAACTTTAGGGTTGCAACGCATGGTTTTACCTGTTCACCCCGAATCTCCTCAGTGACGGGTCCCTCGTGTTCTTTCTCAGCTTTCTTCGGGTAAAGCACGAACCTTTTAGTCCTCAGTATCACTGGCATGGACAGACGTGGGGAAAGAAAGAGAGAGAGAGAGAGAGAGGAATCAAAAAATGTGCATTCGGTATTGAATGGGGATACTGAATGCAACACTTGTGAGTTGAGGGAGAAGAGGCAGGTCTGTAGTTTATGCCCATTTAGAATTTGACGTACAAGAGGTAATATATCCATAGTAGGGTCCACCGTCAGCATGAAGTAAGTGGGTGAGTATCGCAAGCCTTTGGTTTGATGCTGTTCTCGTCGATGTGCACCGCAATGAGTCGAAGTGCGTGTAAATTTTGCTGGTCGCTCTCAGGCTGAAGGGTCTGTGGACGCGGCTGATTTCCCACACGTAGAGGAAGATGCACACGTGGTTGTTCCCCCCTTGGTGGATGCAGGTGTTCAGGGTAAAGCGCACACCGCCCGCCGCCGATGGCGCGGCGGCGCGTTGAGGCCGGCTCCCCCGAAGGCGGCCGCGCGGGCGGGGCGCGGTGCCGGGGGCGAGTTCAGGAGAGCGTTCCCGCAAACGGCCTTCCTCCTCCTCCTCCTTCTCCTCCTCGTTTTCGTCCTCCTCCTCCTCCGCCTCCTCCTCCGCCTCCTCCTCAACCTCCTCCTCCTCCTCCGCTCTTGTTTTCACCATGAGGCAGTGGCCTTCTGCGTCGGGTCACGCATGGCGCCAGAAGTGGCCAAGGCGAGGCACACTGCTTTTATGATTCGGGCTTGGTTGCCGCCTGGCTCTCTGGCACCGTCGGGAACCCTGACCGACGAGTCACTTGGCTGCCAGAGAGAACTCACGATCACAGTCGCCATCGGCATCCTCCCACTTTATCTTCATAATGTGTACTAGCGCCATCAGCATCGGCAGAATCATAGCAATCATCATCGCAGTCTTCGTCGTCGTCGCCATCGCCATAATCACCGTCATCATCATCATCATCAACATCAGCAGCAGCAGCATCATCATCGTTCTCCTCGTCATAATGATCGTCGTCGCCATCATCATCAGCAACAGCATCATCACCACTAGCAGAATCACCATCACAATCGCCGTCATCTTCAGCATCATCCTCGTAGTCATGATCGTTGTCAGTGTCATCCCATCAGCATCATCACCACCACCACCATCACAATCATCAACAGCATGAACAGCATCATGATCATCATCACCACCATCACTACCACCATCAGTATCACCATCATCAACAGCATGAGCACCACCATGATATTCACCACCACCAGCAGATCAGAAGCATAACCATCAGCAGCAACAGCATCATCATAACCATAATCATCACCCGTATCATCATCAGCATCAGCATAATCTTCATCATCATCAGCATCGCCAACATCATCATCATCAACAATATCATCAGCATCTGCATCATCATCATCAGCATCATCATCATCATCATCATCATCATCATCATCGTTGTCATCATCATCATCAGCATCATCATCATCATCATCATCGTCGTTGTTATCATCATCGTAGTCATCCTTCACCCTCCTCCCCGCAGGTGCCCCGCCCTGCGGGCGGCGGCTGCGACCCCGTGTGCAGCGCCAGGGGCGTCTCTGCCACATGCAGGACGCGCGGGGCGGCGGGGCAGTCGCGGCGGTGGCGGGCCCCGTGGAGCCGGCTTTGAGGACGAGGAGTAGGGAAGCCAAGATTGGAAGGTCTTCTTAAGAACGACGACGTAGGGGCGATTAAACCTGATTAAGGGGCCATTCAGCCAGATTCAGCCCTGGACTACGCCGAATTACATCGGCGTTACAAAAGCTTCGTCATAAAATAAAAGTCGATCATCTTGCATAAGCAAAGACAAATCCCGCCCTGGTGGGATTTCTAGAACCGTGTGAATTTACGTCGGGATTTCAAAATGTCCCGTTTTAAGTCTATACTATTATAGTAAGGGGCAATCCCACTTTGAGAAATCCCGGATCTTTGATCCGACCGCTCTTGACTCAGTCCGCTAGGATTCTAGGGGGGAAAGGGGGGCCAGCTCGGCGCGGCCAGGGCAGTGGTCAGCCTCTGCCCGCTTGCTCACGCGGAAGGAAGACACGAAACCCATGCCACCTTCAAGCTCTCATGAAACGTGACGAACTTTTTGTAACGGCGTAGTAGGCGGAAGCAGGCTGGATCAACCCAGACTGAGCGGGAGCACGCCCGTTGTCGACGAGGGAGGTACGAGCGCCAATGTTGAACTTAATGTTCCAGGAGTTGCATCTTAAGAGGGGGAGGCAGACATTCAGGATGGAAAAAAACAGACACAGACACCAAGAGCGGTCGATTCCCCAGAAAGTACAGAGAAATGTGGGAAGTGGAGGGGAAGACGGACGTCCAGAAAACATAGAAAGTATGGGGAATGTTGGGATCTGTGTCTACTTGTGTGCCCCTGGTCCCCTTCAAAGAGGGGGGGGGGGGGACGGACGGAGGCCCCAGGCGGACTGGTCTGCTCGATCCCGGCGTTCCCTCTCCGCTGCGGCCTCCCGGGGCCCGCCTCCAGGAGCCTCACGGCCTCCGGGAGGAGATGCGGGGCGCAGACACAGCCCCGAGCAGAGGGCCGATGGCTCGGGGGCCCACGGACGGGGTTCAGCATCGTCTGACCGACCCCCATCGCCGTGCCCATCCCCATCCGGACCCCCACCATCTCCCCCCCCACCCCAGTTGGGGATGTGCCCCTCGGAGCTAGGAGGAGACGGCCCATATCTCCCCCATCTAGGGGGGGGGTCAATCGGCCAGTGAGGCCCAGGCCACGCCCATCCGGATACGGGTCGGTGAAACGAGCTCAGGGGTCGATGGCGCTGGAGAGGGAGGGGGGGGGGGGGGGGGGGACGACGAGGAGGGGCAGGAGGGGTGGGAGGCCTCATCTTTTGGGCCTGCGGGGAGGGGCTCTTTTTCGCTACTCGCTGCCTGTGGCCGGATCTGCCTCGAGACTCAGGTCAGAGCGTGTTGTAGGAAAGGCTGGGGGGGTGGATGGTCGGCTCTTGAGCGCCAGCAAGCTGAATGACCCCCATGCCGCTGGGCGTTGCAAAGCCATCGCGGTTGCCCTTCCACCCGCGGTGTCAGCCTCTCCAAGGGTTGACACCGGGCCCCACGGCAGCTGCAGGCGACCCTGGACGACAGAACGATCCTTCGGGGGTTCGGGAGCTCTGGGGTCCACGTCGTGATAACGTCCCGACGTCAGGGGTCTGGCCCCCGTCCCAGCAGGTGCCAGTATTCGCTTGGTGTGGCCAGCCTGAGCGAATCAGGAAATACAAAACACGGACACGAAAAATCGTCGATTCCCATGAAGACATGGGACATGTTGGAAGTAGAGGGGAAGAAGATCATCCAGAAAATACGGAATAGTATGGAGGAGTCCTGGGATGTGTGTCTATTTATTTGTGCGTCCCTGGGCCCCATCAGCGAAGCTTGATACTCACACGTAGGGCGCTCCAGTGGAGGCATCGCCCTTCGAGAAACCGAGGGATCGACCTCTCGCACTCGTCTTGAAAGCACGCGGAAGCAGGCCGAAGCAGAACGAGGGCGACGTTGCCGGTGGAGGTAAAAGTTGGCCCCCCGAGAGATGCCCGCGCCGATGAGTTTTTTGTGCCAGAGTGGGCCCGTCGTGGCCGCATGCTTGTTGTCACAATTCTGAGCTAGAGTCGGGTCTCACTTCGGTATGATGACGGTGTCGTTGTGGTACGTATTGTGACGACGATCGAGCGCCACTGCAGAGGATTTTTCGTTGCCGATGGCCACCAACACACAGACTCGAGCGTTATTGAAGGGGCCCCAGGACACACAAATAAATACACACAAATAAAATAATTCCCCATATTTTCCCATATTTTCTGGGTTTCTGTCTTCCCGCCCAATTCCCATATTTTCCTATATTTTCTGGGGGATCGAGGATTAATTGTGTCTGTGTGTGTTTTCCCTCCTGCGTTATTTGCGGTGCATCGGGCCAGGGAACGTTCATTATCCACCGACACCGATCCTGACCAGGCCGATTTGGGGCCCCAGATGTTCCTGGCCAAGGTCGATGAAGTGGGTGGGTAGTTGACGTCCTCCTCCTCCTCCTCCTCCTCCTCCTCCTCCTCCCTCCGCCTCCTCCTCCTCCTGCTCCTCCTCCTCCTCCTGCTCTTCCTCCTCCTCCTCCTCCTCCTCCTCCTCCTCCTCCTCCTCCTCCACCCCCTCCTCCTCCTCCCTCCTCCTGTCGGGTTCCCTGAGCTTCAAGCCAGTGGCCGTGACAGAAAGATTATGCTTCACCCTGCGGGGACACGCACTACCAGGGGTCCCGCATCCAGGTCCCTTGCGGAAGTGCCACCGTGCCCCAGCCGGGCAGACGTTCGACATCAGCCCCCCTCGCCCCATGTATGTCGTGCAAGCGAGAGCCTCGCCGGCCGAGACCCCCTGAGAAGACCCCCCCTCCCGTGGCCGCATCGCCGATGCATCGCCAATTCGGCGCGACCCCATTTCGGACGGGGCTAAGACGAGGATGACTCCATTCCAGAGCGTTCCAGAACGCTCTCAGAGCGTTCCAGAACGCTCCGAGAAGGCCGCGTCGCCCAAGACATCTTCCAGAGCCGTTGGATCTCAGAGCTTCTCGATTCATACTCACCCGATGTTCTCCTCGTCCTGGCTTCGTCTTACCCAGCTTCTCGGACCCCATCTGAGCGACGCAGAAAAACGAGACCGTCTGCACCGACAGTGGCCCGTAAGCTGCCCGCCCAAGGTCCCGTGCGAGCGCCCGCGTCTCCAAGGTGGCGTGCTGCGCTGGCGGCCCGCGCAAGCCGCGGCGTGAGGTCGGTATTGTCATCTCTCGGAAGACCCGTTTTCCTTCGTCGCTCCGCTGTTGTGCTTAGAGCTTCCTGTTGCTCTGAGAACCTGTCGCGATGGGCATCTAGAACTGGTGGGACGGTTGGTCCCCGACGTCATGATTTTTCACGACGTCGACCCCCAGAGGTTTCGACCCATTCCCCGGAACTGGCCTCCCTCCTGCGTCGTTCCTTGACGGCCCTGAGGCCCAGCATGGCCCCCAAGAGGCCGAACCTTGGGAAAACCTTCCGGTCGCGATTTTCTCACTCGAGGGGGCCTGGGGATCGAGCCTGCGGCGCCCTCGGGCCGCCGCCGTCGAGCCCGCCGCTCCTCTGGGAGAGGCCCGCCGTGGCCACGGGCGGCACGCGCGCCCTCCCGGGGCGGGCCCGCGCGCTGTCGGGCCCGGGCTCCGCGGGCTGGCCGCGCGAGCTCCGCGGCCCGCGGGGCCGCCGGCCATGCCTCGCGGGGGCGGCCCCGCATGAGCGAGGGCGAGGCCGCCGAAGAGAGCGCTGCCCAGAGCCGGAGAAGGAGCAGCGGCCCGAGTCGGGGACGCGAGAAGGGCTCCCGAGTCTGCGCCAGAGCTCGGGGAAGAAAACAAAAAAAAAAAAAAAAAAAACGCCACAGACAGAAGCGTTTGGCGCTCCACGCGGATTTCTTGAGTCCACGCCGGCCCCCCCCTGGCGGCGCCTCCGGCGCCGCCCCTGGCGCGCTCCGCGCGCCAGCGAGGAGGGCCCAGCGCGGATCAGGAATCCACGCGGAGCGCCAAAAGTTCATGCTTCTGCATTTTTGTTCTTCCTCTAGAAAGATTATTGAGTACGCCAGAAGTCGGTTTTGCCGACGCTCTTTGACGAGCGCGTCCTGGATTTTGTCGGTCCCGTTTTCGTGGGACGTCTGCAGTGGGAGCCCGCGTCAGATTCCAACTGGGTCGCGGAGGAGGAGGAGGAGGAGGAGGAGGAGGAGGAAGAGTAGGAGGAGGAGGAGGAGGAGGAGAAGGAGGAGGAGGAGGAGGAGGAGAGGAGGAGGAGGACGACGACGAAGAAGAAGGAGGAGGAAGAAGTGGAGTGAGCAGGAGGGAGAGGAGCCGAAACCCGAGCCTCACGTCTCCCCGAGCATAGACGTTCGGATGTCCGCGCAGGTTTCCTGGATCGGCGCTCCGCGCGCCAGGGAGGGGGCTTCGGGCCGATCCGAGAGGAGTCCGCGCGGACCCCCCCCAAACTGAATATGCTCACGCCGCTGCTCCTTCCTCCACAGAAGCGGGTCTGCCCGTGCTGCGACCGCACGATCTTCAGCGACGGCACGTTTGTCGTCCAGGTGGAGTACCACCAGGGCGAGGCATATTGCCTGAAGTGCCACGCTGGGCTGCGCGCCAGGATCGACAGCGTCTCGAGGGCGCTGGAGAGCTTGCTGCTCGAAGTCTCGGGCAGCGAGGCGCTGGAGCCCTGTGCGCCGGGGGGGCCGCCCCCCGAGAGCCTCGAGGAGCTGAAGAGGGACGCCGCGCTGCTCGACGAGAAGATCCACGAGGCCCGCGACGTCGGGGTCGACGGCGCGCTGTTGGAGAGGGCGCGGGTGGTCTGGATCAAGGCCCTCGAGGCCAGCGTGTCCGCAAGGCAGGCGGCGGTGCGGGCCGAGGCCCGGGGTTGCTGAAGGTGTCCCAGGCCCAGGGTGCCCCCAGCTTCTCGCTCCACTTTTCAAGCATTGGCGAGGCGTCCTGGCTTGCCTACAGGCCCGCCGAAGGATCTAAGACCCTGTCAGTGGATTGCGCGAAATGTTCTTGGAACAGTTATGGCTGAGGCCGTCTTGTTTTGATACATCGGGTCGATGTCCTACGAACCTCATCCCTGTTGTAAGGAAATTCGTTTACTCGAAGAATATGCCGTGGTAGGCCTCGAGGCATGCCGGGACGGTCGGCCCCTGCTCAGATTTGGGAGATCCCAGCTGGGCCCCCCAGGGCCTCGCGAGGGGTGCTCTGGGGGCCGTGGTGGCCGCCCTGGCAGTCTCCTGAGGCCTCCACGGCCCCACGGAGACCCGGCACACCTCTGGCCACGCCCGACGGCGCAGAGGCCGAGGAGGAGGAGGGCGGCGACGACGAGGCCGAGGGGCGGGAGAGCTTGGTTGCCGAGCCAGCGGGGGAGGCCGACCGCAGGCTGCTCCAGGAGCAGGCCAGATTCGCGGAGAGCATGGCCGCCGCGGCGGGGAGGGACGCGCCGCCGTGGGTGACGGACGAGGAGTTCCTCGGCTCGTTGCGGGGCCCCGTGCGGATCGAGGACACGGCCCTCCGAGGGGTGTCGCTGGGGCGGGTCTTGTCGTTGGCTGGCTACGTCCAGCACTGCCTCCAGCGCCACGACGTCGTAGACACCGACAGGGGCAGCCCCACAGAGGGGCAGCGCATCAGGTGGGAGTCCATTAACATGTACCAGGTGTGCACCCAGTTCGTGATGCCCCTGACGCGCAAACACGGGTGCTCTTACGTGGAGCTGGTCGGAGAGGGGGACGGTGCAGCCGGCGTGCCCCCATTGTGGATGACGTCACATTGGTGGGGCACCTCGTTTGCACAGACCATCAGCATGCTGAAGTGCCACGCTCAAGCGCGCTATGGCGGTATCGATACCCATTCCCCCGAGGAGACCACGTATTGGATATGCACACTAGCGAACAACCAGCACGACATAGACAGCGAGCTCAACGAGGATAACATGATGAATACGCCCTTTGCGCGGGCGATGCTGAAGGCCAGCTGCCAGGGCACCGTGCTGCTGTGCGACCCAGGCGTCAGAGTCCTTGAGAGAGCTTGGTGCATCATGGAGATCCACATCACCGAGCAGCTTCGCAGGATGCCCGCTTGGGCCCCCGAAGAGATTCGGGCGACCGACGGTGTGCATTTCCTGGACGTGGTATCGCCGGTGACCAGCCGCGACTTGCCGGAAGGTTTAGAGGAGCCGGAGGGCGGGTGCGCAGCGATGTTTTTGGATGTTGGCGAAGACGGTTGGCATGAGCACGCCACGTTGCCAGACATCCGTTTCCCCCTGAGAGTGGCGCAGAATGGCGTCCTTATCAACATGATCAGGAGCGAGGCGTCGAAACCAGAAGATTGGAGGCGGATCATGAACTTCGTCGCTCTCAAGAGAGTGTCTCACAGCACCCCTCCAGCTCAGCATCAAGAATACGTGAAGCTAAACTTGTTTATTCACGAGGTGTTCTATTCTGCCGAGCTCTTTCGGTTGTGTCTAGAGCTTCCGGAGGACGCTGTCATCCGAGCCAAGGAATTGGTGATGAAAGGGGCCAGTCCAAATAAGATTGTGCGCCGCGGCAACACCCCGTTTTTCGCGGCTGTGGGAGCGGAGCAGTTGCACGATTACGACGAGGGGCAGAAGGCAATCCAGAGGCAGATGGTGGAGCTCTTGCTGGCCTCGGGGGCAGACCCCAACGTCGCCAACAACTCCATGAACACCGCCCTGGACTGCGTGCGCGACGAGGACATCGAGAGACTGCTCAAGGAGCGAGGCTGCAAGACCTTTGGCGAGATGGCTCCCCGGCTCGAGAAGGCCATCAACAGGCAGCTGAGGACTGCCGTCAAGGCCGGCTGCGGCAGGCTCCCCGCGTCCCCTCGTCGTCCGCTCTCAGGATAGAGAGAGAGAGAGAGGAACTGTGGGAGTTCGGTGCTATGGGTTTGGGAAGGAAGGGGCCTTGCCTTCGAGGATCGAAGGAGTTGCCATCTCTTCCTCGGCGGAAGGCGGAGGAAGTAAAACGGCGGCGGCTCCGCCGGCAGAAGCTGGCGGAAGCTCGACGGAAGCTTACGGAAGCAAAAGTCGACCTCCCAACAGATGACAACATTTTTGGGTTCAGGGTTTCCGGGATCGGTCATATGTGCATATCATGCTCTGTCGCGTCTTTTTGTGCGCGTTTTATTGGGAGCGGCTGGGCGTGGGAGCGACCCGAGTGGGCGACCCGCGCGACGACGATGGCGACGGCGGCTACGATGAGAGACAGTGACGACGACGACGACGACGACGACGACGACGACGACAGCAGCAGCAGCAACAACAACAACAATTCTCGACCAGGCGGCAAGCAAGTCATTCCCCTGTCTTTACTCTTCCAGAGCGGGCCTGGAGACCTCAGAGATCTTGTCTTTGCGAGGTCCCACTGGTGGATCTGGCTGCTGACAAGCAACTGCTACTGCTACTCAGGCTGAAACAAAATCGACCGTCCGCACTTGGCATCGGGCCCAGCTGGGTGCGGGGCAGCGCGCATGTGGGGTGCTCGCGCCAGACGGCCTGGAAAAAGAGGCCGTCCGCACTTGGCATCGGCCAGATATCGCGGTGAGCATTGGACCACCAAAAGAGAGAAGCTTTGGGGGGCAAAACGAACAAACTGCCTGAGCCATCCCCTCAATCTGGACGCGAAGAATGGAGTGTCTCCACCGCTGGCGGTTCCTCCTAGTGCCCGAGCGCCACGCCGACTTCATCGCGGCGAGCACTGGATCACCAAGAGAGAAAAGCCTTGGGGTGGCAAAAAAGCAAACCGCTTGAGGCATCCCAACAATCTGGACGCGAAGAATGGAGTGTCACCACCTCTGGCGGCTCCTCCTTCTAGTGCCCGAGCGCCACGCCTGCTTCATCGCGGTGAGCACTGGACCACCAAAAGAGCGAGAAGCTTGGGGCGTCGAAACAAGCAAACCGCCGAAGACATCCCCACAATCTGGACGCGAACAAAGGAGCATCATCACCAGAACAGAGAAGTCTGGGGGGCCGAAACAAGCAGACCCCCTGAGACATCCCCACAATCTGGACACGAAGAATGGAGTGTCCCCACCCCTGGCAGCTCCTCCTTCTAGTGCCCAAATGCCACGCTTGCTTCATCGCGGTGAGCACTGGACCACCACAAGAGAGAAGCTTTGGGGGCCCAAACAAGCAAACCGTTTGAGACATCCCCACAATCTGGACGCGAAAACTGGCGTGTCCCCACCCCTGGCGGCTCCTCCTTGTAGTGCCCAAATACCACGCCTGCTATATCGCGGTGAGCACTTGACCACCAAAAAAGAAAACGAGTATGAATTTGAGCAAGTCTGAGTGTGGATCAGCCTGCGTGGAAGTGTACTTGAGGGCGAGTCTGTCTGAGTGTGAGTGACTCTGAGTATGAGTGAGCCTGAGTGTGAGTGAGTCGGAGTACGAGAGATGCTGAGTGTGACTAAGTCTGAGTGCGGATAAGCCTGCGTGTGAGTCCGGGGGCCCAGGGCCGGGACCCCGACCACAAATGTGGGCCTTGGGGGGCCCGGAGGCTCGTCGGACCGCCGGACGCCGTCCAAGATCGTTCGCAGGCGGCTTCGGAACGCGCTCCGATGGCTCCAGATGCCTTCCAAGACGCCTGTCATGACACCAAGAAGGTCCCAGAAGCCTCCAAGACGCTCCGAGAGGCAGCCCAAAAGAGGCCCAAGAAGCAAAAATCGTGCCATTCCTATGGGAAAACGTATATTTTTCGCATGTTCGCCTATTGGGCTTTCACCGCGTCCAAGACGGCCCAAGAGGCGCCCAAGACGGTCTACGAGGCCTCCGGGAGCGCTCCAAGGCTGCGCACGAGTGGCCCAGGACGGCCCCAAGACGGCCGAAGAGAGCCCCAAGACGAGTTCGAGAGGGGTCCCAGACGGAGAAAGCCAACCTCGAATTCCGAGCTTCCGGCCCAAGAGGCTCCAGGAGGCGCCAAAATGCCGCCAAGAGGCGCCAAAAGGTTCCCAAAAGCACCCCAAGACGTTCCGAGAGGCACCCCAAGAGAGGTCCAAGAAACAAAAATCGTGCAATTCCTATGGGAAAACGTACATGTTTCGCATATTCGCATCTTGGGCTTTCACCGCGTCCAAGACGGCCCAAGAGGCCTCCAAGACGGCCTAGGAGGCCTCCGGGAGCGCTCCAAGGCTGCGCACGAGTGGCTCAGGACGGCCCCAAGACGGCCCAAGAGAACCCCAAGACGACTTCGAGAGGGGTCCCAGAAGGAGAAAGCCACTCTCGAATTCCGAGCTTCCGGCCCAACATATCCCAGGAGGCGCCAAAACGCCGCCCAGAGGCGCCAAAAGGCTTCCAAAATCAGCCCAAGACGTTCCGAGAGGCACCCCAAGAGAGGTCCAAGAAACAAAAATCGTGCCATTCCTATGGGAAAACGTATATTTTTCGCATGTTCGCATCTTGGGCTTTCACCGCGTCCAAGACGGCCCAAGAGGCCTCCAAGACCGCCCCAAGACGGCCCAAGAAGCTTCCAAGAGGGCCCCAGGACAGCCCAAGAGGGCCCCAAGACGGCCCAAGAGGCGCCCAAGATGGCCCAAGAGGGCCCCAAGACGGGCCCAAGAGGGGGCCCAGAGGGGGACCACGAACCGCAAGCTCGAGCCTTCCGCCCCAAGAGGCCGCCAGGAGGCCCCAAGGAGGCCCCTCAAGAGGCCCCAGGAGACCCCCAAGAGGCCCAAAGGAGGCCCCGAGAAGCCCCAAATCGGCCCCCAAAATGCTTCGAACCTGCTTCCAGGAGGCCCCCGACAGGTTCAGAGGCTCCCGAGAAGCTACGTCAAACTCCCAGCGAGCAGCCGGACGAGGCCCCCCACAAAATCACAAGAGGGTTCCAGCATTTGTATCCTTCAGCGCTCTCTGGCCTTCTTCCCCCTGCCCCCTTCCCTGCGACTTTCGTTGACTCAAGTTCGCCTCCTAGCTAGAACCTAAGCGCGCGCGAAGCGCGCGCGTGGTTCTAGTGAGTGAATCTGAGCGTTTCTGAGTGTGAGTGAGTCTGAGTCTGAGTGATATGAGTGCGAGTGAGTCTGGGAATGAGTGGGTCTGCGTATGAGTGAATTTGAGAATGAGTGAGTTTTGATGTGAGTGAGTCTGAGTACGAGTGGGTCTGAGTATGATTGAAAATGAGTGGCCATGAGTATGCGAGGAGGAGGAAAGGAATAAGAAGAAGAGGAGGAGGAGGAGCAGAAGGGAGGAGTGGAGTGAGCGAGTGAGTGAGAAGGCTGAGGCGTCACACTCATAACAATAACGCACGAACCCCATCTTAGGATATGGGGAAAAAAAGAACTCGGCTGCGTCAGGCTCGACACCTTCTCCGGCAGCGGCGGAGGCGGTTTGGCGGACAGGCTGTCTGCCGAGGGGTTGAAGAGCCTCCAGTCGGCCGCCGCGCTGATGCACCGCTACCCCGGGGCGCCCTGCACGATCAGCGTCCGACAGCAGAGGCGCACCGCGAACGGGGTGGCCGAGGTCACGGCGCTGGCCCGCGCGAGGATTGGGGTTGCTACATAAAAGTGTCACTGGCCCGAGGTGTTCCACAGCCTCTTGCTGCATCATGAAGGCCCATGGGGCGCGGGGGCCTCGCGAGGGGCGCTATGGAGGCCGCGAGGTGAAGTCGACCGCGGCTGTTGATGGCAACGCCTGGGCACCAGGAACTGGACCCTTCTGCAGACAGACCCGCCGCCTCCCGCTTCCCACCTCTTCCCGAGGACGTCCCCCGCTCCTCCAAGAGGGGGAGGAGGAGGAGGAGGAGGAGGAGGAGGAGGAGGAGGAGGAGGAGGAGGAGGAGGAGGAGGCAGAGGAGGAGGAGGAGGGAGGAGGAGGGGAGGAGGAGGAGGAGGCGGAAGGAGGCGGAGGAGGAGGAGGAGGAGGCGGAGGAGGAGGAGGCGGAGGAGGAGGCGGAGGAGGAGGAGGAGGTGTGAGCTTCGTCGGGACGTGCCCCTCGATCCTCGAGGGGGGCGGGAGAGGGGGGCGCCCAGAGGCCCAGAGGCCTCCACGGCGGAGGCCTCTCGGCCTCTGTGGCCTCCAGAGCACGGAGGCCTCCACGGCCTCCAAGTTCTCCTCGGACGCCACCACGGTCCCTACGAGCTCCCCTGACGTGGCCCAGAGGGCTCCCAGGGGCTCCACGTGGAGCCAAAGGCTGGGGAACACCTGGGGCCAGGGGCACCTCTGGCAGCAGCCGGCAGGAAGGTCCAGGCGGTGCTGCAGGCCGCCGGTTGCCGGAACCCCTTCCGCCTCGAGACGTCGTGCCCCCTGGCCACGCCCGTGCCGCCAGCCGTGGCGATAAGGATGGACCTTCAGAGGATGGATAAGATCAAGGACTATGGCGGTGCCATTCTCCTCGGCGCTGACACCTCACCCGAGGCAGAAGGTCGGGGGCGGCGTTGGGGGGGGGAAAGGCTCAGACTCAGGGGGCTCGGCATCGCTCGGACGTGTGCACTTTTTGTCGGCGGGGACCATCGAGGAGCATCCTGGATCATCGAGCGAAAAAACACGCGCGAAAGCGACCAATGCACGGGGAATGGACGTCCGAGCGAGGGCGAGGGATGGGGCACATCGACCCCCAACCGCCCATCCATCGGCGATCGGGGCCCGATAGCCCACCCCGCCTAGGAACGTGCGGATCTGCCATCGGAAGACTAACGCCGATCTATCGGCGCTGTATCGCCGATTCTAGCTCGAGGCTCTCTCCCCTGAGCCGGTCCCGCCCTAACGCTCACCCTCAGAAGGGGCGGAGGGGGGCGGGAGGATGACGCAGGAGACCGACTCCGAGTCCGCTGGCGATGAGTCAGAGGCCGGGTCCGAGCACAGCACGGGGTCGGATTGGGACAGGGTGACGAGGCTGTTTCAGCGGTGCGATTCGGATGGATCGGGCACAATCAGTCGCGAGGAGCTGGAACGGGTGCTGCTGTCGGTGAAGCCCGACCTCACTCAGGAGGAGATGACCGTGATGTTCAATTGCGCGGATGCCGACCGCAACGAGAAGATAGATCGCATGGAGTTCCTCGCATGGATCAATTCGTCGGTCCCCGCCGCGAGCGAGCTGAAAGAGCAGCACTCGGGTCCTATCGACGATCGATTGTCGACGGGCTCCAGCCCGTCATCAACGAAAGTTCAGGGTGACCGTCCAGATAGCTCGCATGGACCAACTCGTCGGACCCCGTCGTGAAGGAGCTGAAGGAGTAGCAGCTGGGTCCTGTCCATTGTCGACTGTCGATGGATTCGGCAATCGATTGTCGACGCAAGGTGAGGGCGATCGTCTGCAGGTCCCAGCTCTTCGCGTGGCTCAAGTCGATTCGGCGTTGCTCAGGAGAAACGCATCGTTAGGGCTTCATGGGCGGACACGCCACGCTTGCCCCAACCCACGGCCACTCGCGGGGAGAGGGAGGCGGTGGAAGACACATGCCCCTCCTGGTCATCCTCCTCCTCCCTCCCTCTCTCCCTCTCTCTCTCTGCCTTCTGGTAAGATCGAAAGCTGGCCATTCCCCAAACAGTGCTTGCACTTTGGGGATCTCTCTTGCCACGTCTCGCCGAGGTCTCGCCGAGGTCTCGCCGAGGTCTTCCGATATTTGTCCCACCGCAAAGCAATCAACCACCTCGACCTCATGACATTTATATATAATTTAGGAAAAAACATGGAAGGAAAAAACACAAACCCCCCACCAAAAAAAAGAGAGAGAGAGGCAGGCCAAGACAGGAAGAGGAGGAGGTCTCGCCACGTTGCCGCCCTCTGGGCGCCGCGTGGGCGCCCCGCGCGCTGGCGCGGGCCCGGCGAGGCTCCGCCGCGCTGCCGCCCTCGAGGGCTCCGTGGGGGGCCCCGCGCGGCGGGCGGGGTCCGCCGAGGTCTCGCCACGCTGCCGCCCTCTGGGCGCCGCGCGGGCGCAGCGGGCGCACACAAACACAGCGCACACCCCAGACCCCCTCGAGTCATGAAAAAATCACGACGGAAGGTTTTTCCATGTTTTCCGCCTCTGGGGGCCCTTACCGGCCCTCGGGACCGTCAAAAAACGACTCAGGATGAAAAACCGGTCCCGGCGAACAGGTCCGGACCTCTGGGGGTCGCGTCATGAAAAAATCATGACGTTGGGTGTCTGGGACCTCCTCTCGTCTCCTCCTTCCTCCTGTGGGGCGGGTGCTCGTACTCCGTAGCGCTTGTCCGTTTGATGTCTCGAGGTGTGGGCGCGGAAATCTGCAGTCCAACTCCGTCTCGCTGGCGCGGCGCCTTCTGGCTTCCGGGTCTGTGCCCCTGGAACTGCACCGACTCGGGCCAGGTAGGTAGTTCGTTGGTCATCGGCTTCGCGCGGGGGAGGAAGGAAAAACAAACAAAAAAAACGCACACCACACAGGTTCTCCTTCCAAAAGAAGAAAGACTCTGCCACCCCGTCCCCCCCAAGACTTATCAGTACCCCCTGGGACACTGCAGCTTACAGATGACGTTGCCTCATCGTTCCTCCATCTGCCCGGTGAAAACACACCATCCCAGGCAGGCCGACATCGCTCCCCCCCCCCATCCTTGTCAAGTAACACTATGTGCGCACATGCTTCATCGCAAAAGATCATTGTACAAGAATCCTTTTTGCAAACAATTGCTCAAAGCAAGCACGCGCGCATATATGTCAAATTCGCACCAAATACAAGTGCTGCAAGTACTTCAACCTAGAGGCATCTACATACAAACTTTGTTGTTGATGTTAAATGTTTCACACATTCTGCCCGCGCGCACTATGTGAAATCATCGGGCAGCAACATGGGTTTAGCAAGCTCGCCCAAAACCCGCATTCTCATCTCACCACGCGGCGCGCCTGCGTTGATTCAGCATGCGCTCAGTGAGCAAATCTGTATCAAAAAACACCACGCGGGCCACACGCCCTCCCCACCACGCGAGCGTGTCGAAATCCGTCCAAAACCGTTGGGCGTCGAAGTGTTTCAAAATAGATCTTCGAGACGTATGGAACACTTCATATGTATCCACCCAAAAAGTGTGCCCGGGTTCTTGGATTTCCGCACGCGCGCACTACCTCACCATCTTCCTCACCAGCGCCGCCGCATCACGTCATCGTCATCCCCAGCCGCCGCCATTGTTGCCATCAGCGCTCAAGCACCATCACCGACACATGAACATCATCATCGTCGTCATCGGCGTCATCAGCAACGGCGTTGTGATTTGTTTTGCCGTCGTCATCGTCATCATCCCCCCACCACCATCGCTACTATCATCATCGTCGCCGTCGTGGCCAACATCATCATGATACAGCGCCCGCCCGAGCCACCGACCCGCACTGAAGCGCCCGCACGCCAGCGAGGATTTTGAGATGCGTTGGGAAGCCCCCACTGGTAAGCACCATCGCGGTTGCGTCGGGTGTGCCAAAGCAGCTGACCGCTCTCCGCGCGCTAGCGCAGCCGCAGAAATGCACCAACCAGTGCCAAGTAGTCACCGCAATCGTGGCCGCATGGGTTGTGCAAGACAAAGTGCGGGTCGGAGGCTGGGATGATTGAGCGAGAAATGGGGTTGATGCTTCGAAGTTCTGCAAGGTGGATTGCACAAGATAGTTTACACATCGTAGCTCATGTCACATAGAGTGGATCACGCAGCCCACACCGCAGAGTCCACAGACCAATTGTTCACACCACACAGATTCCACCACAGCTTACACCACATAGCTCACTTGCATTGCGTGGGTTCTCCCTTCAAAAGAATCAGAGGACCCACCCCCCTTCTCGAGCCCAGACTTTCCTGGCCCCCCTCGGACACCGAAATTTACAGATGGTCTTGGTTAGTCGTTTATTGACCAGTTGAACAGATCTAACCCGAGCCCAACCAGCATCGAGCCCTCCCCCCCATCATACTTGTTACAGAAGACCCTGCGTGCACGTGCCCATCACAAGATGAGCTTCAGTAACCAATTCCAGAAAACGGAACAAAGTTCACACACGCGCGCACATGCTGATATCGTACCAGGCACACGAGATACGCAAGCATTTTACAGTAATAACATCAAAGCACCCCAGGTGTTCCATCACAAATATTGCCGATGTGTTGCCCGCGTACATGTTGAAACCATAGGAAAACCGTGTGAATTTGGCAATCCCGTCCAGAACCCGTATTTTTATTTCACCACGCGGTGCAGCTGCGTTGATCCAGCATCCGTTTCGCGCACGTCCCTGCGAGTGAATGTCGAAAGGGCCACGCACGCGTGTCAAATTTGTGCAAAATCATGGGTGCCCGAATAGTTTCAAAATAGGATTGTTCAAAACACATGGAAAACAGCACTTGGTTGTCTGTCAACAAGAAGTTTGCCAGGCTTCTTGAATGTCTGCGCTCGCCCACCTTCTCACCATCACCCTCACCAGCGCCATCGCATCACCGCCGTTATCGTCATCGCCAGACGTCGCCAACGCCGCCATCATCGGCCAACCGCTTTCATCACCGACACATGGGCACCATCGTCACCGGCGTCACCACTATCGCGTACTATCATCAACGTCGCCGCGCAAGTGTCGACGTCATCATGATACGGCGCCCGCCCGACTGACAGACCTGCACTGAAGTGCCCGCGCGCCAGCGCGGCCTTTGAGACGCGATAGGAATGTTTCATTTGCAAGCGACAGCGCGGCCACATCAGTTGTGCCAAACCAGCTAGCCGCTCTGCGCGCCAGCGCGGCCGAAGAGATTCGCCAGCCAGTGCCGAGCACATCCGCAATCGTGGCGGCATGGGTTTTGCAAAACGAGTTACGGGTGGGAGGGTGGATGGTTGCGCGAGCAGTGGAGTTGGCAATTCACGACTTACACAAACGAATTGAATTTCTCATATTGCACCACCGATCTTACACCACATAATTCACGCCACATAGATTGCACCACATAGAGTGCCCAACATATATTACTCCACATTGTCCATACCACATAGGTTGCACGACATAGTTCGCACCGCATTCACACCACATAAATTGCACCATATACACATTCATCTTTACCTTGCGCCACAGCACCCCACAGCTCACTCAACATTGATCACACTACATAGCCTACACATCCACAATCAGACATCTCACTGTTGGGGGTGCGCGCTGGCAAGGGCCTGTTATATTTGTCGTGTCGTCTGGCAAAGTTTTGGCGTGGAAGAGCTTCTCTCCTCCCCCTCCTTCCCTCCCGGGACCCCGAAGACCACCCGCAGAAGTGTTTGAAGCACCCCTGACTTTTACTGAAAGCCAACAGCAAGCTTCAACGAACCATGAACATCGATTGAGAGTCCAGGTTCCTTGCGACATCCGAGGGGGCCGAGCTTTCGGGCGGCCAGCGGTGCACATCACCGACCACCCCAAGGGATTCGCCAGTCGATGGTTTGATCATTTGGTCGATTGTTTTCTGATCTCCGCGCCTGACTTCAGAATCTTTGAAAACCCCGCCCTCCTTTTGAAGTCACACGGAGGTCCTTGGAGGCTCCCATCAAATCAGAAAGGTTTTAAAAATCTCAACCCTCCCTCCCCCTCCTCCTCTTCATCATCATCCTCATCATCAACATTGCTATCATCCCCCCAGTATTCCACCCTCCTCCTCCTCCTCCTCCTCCTCCTCCTCCTCCTGCTCTGCCTCGTCCTTCTTCCTCCCTCCCCATCTTGCACCCCCCGCTCCTCCACCCCGCCAGAGTGCGCGAGGCACACACGTGGCGCCGGCTCAGAAATCGGGCCGCGCCTCCGCAGCCGCTCTTCCCTGGCAGGAGACGCTGCGGCGGCGGGTAGGCGGCACAGCTCGACAGACGGACGACGGCAACTGCACACCAGCCCAGGCCTGCAACGTCATTCGGCGGCGCTCGACGGGGCGTGAGAGTGACCTTTCGCCGGAGTGGCCTTTGGTGCGGGCCCAGAGGGGGCCCCCGACCGCTGAGCGCGAAGCGGTAGAAGCGGCTGGTGCGCCCGGGTTTTGGCTAACCCGCCTCCCCCCGTTAGGCCGTGCACCAAAGGTCACTTTCTTGCTTCGGGTCACTCTTGCGTGTAGCCGAGGCGCTCAGAGGTTGGCGCGAGGAGCGTGGCCTTCTAAGAATGGCAAGGTGTTCCTCTCAGGGGCAACGCTAGGGGGGGACAGCTTCAGGGGTAAAGGCATCGACCCCCAAGCGCCCGTCGATCGCCGATAGGGGCCCGATAGCCCTACCCCTTCGAGGAACGTGGGGTTTCGAAGTCGGGCATCTCCCCGAGATTGTAGTGGCCTCCGGCCAGTGCCGCCGATCCGGGGTACTACCGATTCTGCTTGCAACGGATGACCTTTTATGTTTACAAGTCGAGCACTCGCTCGAGACATCATCATAAGATAGAGATGTTGAACTCGCTTGGGCAACCTTCGGATATTCGAAAGTGACGATCTCGCGTGAACAGCCAAACTCATGGGATGTCCCTTCCCACCTTCCGGGCCTGAATGGCGTCCGCCATGGCGTCAGCCCCCCCCTCCCCCCCGACATCCTCCTCCCGGGCTTGAATGGCGTCAGCCATGCCCCCACCCACCCCCGTCCTCCCTCCCCCCTCCTCCCCCCTCCCGGGCCTGAATGGCGTCAGCCATGGCGTCAGCCCCCCCCCGACTTCCTTTTCCCGGGCCTGGATGGCGTCAGCCATGGCGCCCCCCCGCCCCCCCCCCCTTCCACACTCCCGGGCCTGAATGGCGTCAGCTATGGCGTCAGCACCCCCCCCCCGACAGAGCGAAGCTTGAGCGAGCTCCCCGCCCCCCTCCCCCTTCCCGGGCCTGATTAGCGTCAGCCATGGCGTCAGCCCCCCCTCCCCGACAGAGCGAAGCTTGAGCGAGCTCAAGCCCACGCTCTCAGAAACTCACACGCCGGAATGGCGGATATCGGCGATGTACCGCCGATTCCAGTTAGATGGTTCCCCGCATGAGCCGCTCCCCCCCCATCTTTGCCCATCAAGGATGCTTCGTTGAAGGGCCAGGAGGTTTCTAAGAGGGCTTCTTGCAAGGCCACCCCCGTCGCGCAGCCCCCTTGCGCGCGCCGCCGAGCATCGGAAGACTCGAGACGGAGGTCTGTGTTACCAGGTTCGGCGTCCAGGGGCCCTACTTCTCGTGCCCAGGGACCGTCAGAGAACGATCTTGGGCAAAACTACAGCCCTTTTCGGAGCGTATCGGGAGGGCTGGGGGCCACACAGTGAAACTGCCACGACGTCTGCGGTCCCGAGCAGCCCGTCCTGGCCAAGCTCATCCTGGGCCCAAGGTCGGTGTGTACGCCGTCCTGGCTCGGTGCGCCGATCTCAGGCGCACGACTGGCCCGTCCAAGGTCGATGCAGGTGTAGAGTTGGCGTCCTCCAAGGAAAAAGTGTTGCATTGGTAGCTCGCTCGCCCGCCTCCAGAAAAGAAATTCCCGACGCGACGCGCCTCTGCGGTCACGACAGCGGAGGATGAGGGGAGGAGGAGGAGGAGGAGGAGGATCAAGGTTTTCTGTTTTTTTTCTTGTTGCTGGGCCTCTGGACACCCCTAATGTCCTATCAAGCCCTCCGGGTGTCCCCATATCCCACCTTAGATGATTACAGAAACCTTGGCAGGCAGTACATGATTCTAGTGCGTCTCAACGTGCAAAGGGGCACGGTGGTGGATATGTTGCCCTCTTCAGACACCCGCCGTCACAATTAAATACCTGTGACGTGGGTCCCAGGTCTGCAGCCCAAGACGTTGGTTGCTGATCTTGCCGCACGAGCACTGAAAACCAGTCGTCGCGATTTTCCTCAGAAGTCGGCCCAGACCACTCCCAGGGCGCGTTCCGGCCATAATTCCGAGGTGGACCCAGACGTTGTGACGAGAAGTTTCTCAGATGCCCAGACAAGACGCAAAATGCCCAAATATGTTCATTCTCGAATGTCTCGTCCTCCCTCCCTTCTTTCTCCGCGGTCGTCTCCCCCTCCTCCTTGTCGAGCAATTGATCTCGTGACGTCCTGCGATGATGCAGCTGAAGTCAAAGCCCGAGCGCCTCCTTTGAACGCTTTCGGACGTCACTTGTTGCTGTGGCGTTGCGATCCGCTCCCGCTGTCCTTTCCTGAAAACGCAAGGCAGTTGCCAGTTCTTGCAAATGTGTGTGTGCAGCGTGGCCCGAATATCTGTGCCGCGACGTTTCTGCGAAATTTGGTTCAAAGGCATCGTGCCTGTACAGTGCCGAGACGCGGACCGAAACCTCCTGCTGCGATTATCGCCTCTACCTGCGCAGTTTTTTTGTCTGTGACCTCGCGGATTCGGCGGCTTCCTCGTCGAGCGCGCCGGCGCGCATCACCGCGAAGATCTGGCAGACGGGCCCACGGGTCGTGGCTACCGCTGGCTCGTGGGGCTGTCACGCGAAGATCGCCGTCATGAAAACATGGGGCCCGACCGAGAGAGATGATTTCACACTTCAGCAGTTTGTGCCTGTCAGGCACATGCCAGCAGTGAGTTGGATTGAGCGTGCGAAGCTTTCAAACAATAGTGTGGGCGAGGGCTCCAATCTTCAAGTCGTTACGGATTCCATAGAAGCCGATATGAAACGCACCGCACGGTAGGCGTGAGGTTGCACTGTGACACGCTCGTGGGAGATTTTGTATTGTGACATAGCCTACCCTTTACGCCAAGGGGCAGCAGAACATAATATTGTTGCTACGAAATCGCTGGTGGAGGACAACGAAAAACACCATCTCCGTCGCTCTCCTCCACTGGCGACAACGCTGAGGACGGAGAAGACAACGACGATGACGATGACGTCGACGACGACGACGACGACGACGACGACGTGGGTCTCTGGAGATCTCAGGAGGCCCCTGTAGGAGGAGGAGGAGGAGGAGGAGGAGGAGGAGGAAGAAGAGGAGGACGGCGACGACGACGACAATGACGAAGACGACGACGCAGGTCTGTGGGGATCTCCTGAGGTCCTCCGAGGACGACGACGACGAAGCCCGAAGACGACGACGACGACGACGACGACAACGGCGACGACGACGACGGCCGCGGCGGCGACGGCGGCGGCGGCGGCCGCGGCGGCGGCGGCCGCGGCGACAGTGGCAGCGGCCGTTGCGGCGGGAGCGGCGGTGGCCGCGCGGGGGTTCCGCGGGGGCCGCGGAGGAGCCGCGTGCACTACGCCATGGGCAGGGACTTCCTCGGGCAGCCGGCGGCCTGCACGTCGGCCCTGGGAGCGCCCCGCGCCGCGTCGTCGCCGCCGTCGTCATCGACGTCTCCGTCGTCGTCGCCGCCGCCGCCGCCGCCGCCGCCGATACCGTCGTCGCCGTCGCCGTCGTCGTGCCCATCTATCACCAGCAGGGGGCCTGATAGCCCACCCCGCCCAGGAACCTGCGAAGTCGCCATCGGGGGCCTTGTGGCGCTGCATCGGCGACGTTCCGTCAGCTCGCATAATAAGCATGAGCGACTTTCCAAGGGTATCCTTGCATCCCTGTCCCTTCGGCCCATCCTTGGCCGGTTTCGGTGGCCGCGCTGTATTGCATCTGATGAGGGGGAGGAGAGTCAGCAGCAGGAAAAAGCGGCGTGCACCACGCGGCCTCGGACTGGCTGGAAAAAAGTGAAGGCCAGGACGCCACCGTGGCGCCGCTCAGGCCAACCCAGAGCAGAGCTTGCACAGAGAGGCTTATGCCTGCTCTGTGGAGGCCAGCGTGTTCCTGCGGTCGAGGGCGACGGAGTCAAAGCAGGACGTACACGTGCATCAATCCACGTTGGTTTCGAGAGTACGCACTGCGCGAATGTTGGTGTCACGCGGCCTGTTTCGCGGATTGGGAGGCCGTGTTCATGTACGTGGTTGGGCGCCTATTTTTTCAGGGCTCCCCATGGACGTCAGCCGATCACATCACCGATCAGCATCTGCGCCCAGGATCAGCATCTGCGCCCAGGATCAGCATCTGGCTGGGCTGATCCTGGGCCCAGGATCAGCATCTGCGCCTGCCTGGCCAGGCCAGGGGGACCTGTACACCGATCCTGGGCCCAGGAGGCGCCCGGACAGGATCGGTGAGGCGGTCTCAGTTGACGTCCCCCGATCGCTAGCGCCAGCCAGTCGCACCCGCCTTCGTTGTCCTCGATCGGCGCTCGCTGTCGTCTGCCAGCCTCCTAGCGGGCCCCCCCCCAGCGTCAGGGCTCGTGCGGCGCCAGTGCGACGCGTGCCACAGCTGCACCCTGGAGCAGGCTCGGCTGCGCCGCCTCCCCTTCTCCCGCGGACCTTGTTCCTGGACTGGTCGGTCTTTGTGATATGGCCCCAGGTTCCGAGAGCGGCTTCCCCAGAAGCCGACATTGGGAAAACACAACGATAAGACATGAAGAGGAGGGACTAAAACAAAATGCGATATGTCCTTGTTAGTTTTTCATATGAGCACATCAGGAAGAAGCAGCACAACAACCATAACCACAACAACGACAACAACAACTAAAGCAACAGCAACAGTAACAACAACAAACACAAATCAGCACACGCATGTTGGTTAGAGGGACCCCCACCAATCAGTTTCAGCACATATGATATGTGCCTAGTGTGTGCTGCTGACGTACGAGCTTGGTGTCACGTCTTGGGGGAGTTATTCCTGGTATGTGCGTTATTGGTGTAAACATAGCGTGTAAATGTACGGCGAATGGTCGTTGCAAAAGTTACTAAGGGAAAACGCTTGTGACTGATGCATATTATTTGAATGTCTCACTGGTAAACGCTCTTGATGCCTATGTGTGATGTACGCTCCCGGTATACGTTATTGGTGTATGGTGGGAGTGTTTGTGATTGGGGCATGTGATTGCTGTGTTTTTGATGTATGTAGCTAGTAGGCGTCATGGGTGTATGGTATTGACGGCTGTGTTTGAGGTTTGTTCTGCACACGTTATGTGTGATATGTGTTGTTGGTGTCGGGCCTCGGTGTCTGTTATGTTTGTGTGTTCTTCACGAAAAAGTTTGATGCACAGTACTCATATAGTTTAATGGCGCGTGGTATTGGTGCATGTTCTTGGCGCATGCTACTGATTTCTCTCACTGGGGCATGCTGTTGGTGTGGGTCCTTTGAGTGTGTGTCCCTGATGTGTGTTTTTGAAGCAAGAATTTAGATCATTATATTGATGGTTGCTAGTGATGTGTGGTAATGGTGTGCATGTTTGAAGCGCGGTATGGAGATACGTGCGTGAGGTCTATAGTTGGTGTGTGCGACCTGTGTCAGCTATTGATGGTGATGTATGCTATTGGTGTCGGTGCCGGCTTCTCACATGTGAGATCGACATGTTAGTATTGGTGTTCTGCTGGACTAATGTGTTAAATATCTGTGGTGGTAAATATCCAGCTGCTTGCGGCAAGTCCCGCGACCGTGCCAGCACAGCATTGTAGGCAGCTACTGTTCGAGGGGGCACGGAGGCCGTCACGAGTGACTCCTCGTGTCCCCAGTCTTGGGGAGCCGTGATGATGATGTTGATGATGATGATGATGGTGGTGATGATGAGGAGAAGGAGTAGGAAGATGATGGTGATGGTGATGGTGATCGTGATGATGAGAGTGATGTGAAGGAGGAGGAGGAGGAGGAGGAGGAACAGGAGGAAGAGGAGGAGGAACGCCGTCACATGTGACACCTTTCGCCTTCACTGGTCGAGGAGCCCTCTTGTGGCTGTCTTGGCCTCCCGTGAACAGTCTTTGGGGCCCCTGGGAGCCCCCTTGGGCAGCTTTTCCCGAAGAGCGCTCCGCTAGAGGATTCTATTAGAGGTCACAGATTCCCTGTCACCAGGGGAGGCGTCTCCCAGGCCCAGCGGCGGTCCGGCAGCGCTCACTGTGGTGTTCAGGCTCGATTTGGTCCAGACATGCGACTCACTGTGATGCTCTGGCGGCCCGGAATCTGCCTGCAGCGCTCATTATGGCGTTCTGGTTCGATTTGGTTCAGACATGCGACTCACTATGATGCTCTGGCGGCCCGTATACTATGGTGTTCTGGTTCGATTTGGCTCAGAAATGCGAGTCGTTTAGAAGCTCTGGCGGCCCAGAATCTGCCCTCAGCGCTCATGATGGTGCTCTGGATCGATTTGGTCTTGTCACTCTCGATGGTGTTCTTGCTCGACTGCAGCATTCGTAGTTTTCCCTGAGCACCGTCTCGCTAGAGACTTCTGATTGTCAGAGCGTGAATTACCTACCCCGCGTTCGCTTCCAGGCAAAGCCAAGCCATACCACGCGCCTCCTCGTCAAGCGGCCTGACCAGTACAGGCTGCAAGTTTGGCATCGTTTGGTATCTCTTGGAAGCGAGGGTGGTCAAAAGCGAGGTAGGTTTGTTTTCCCCCTAGATTGGAACCACCTGAGCATCCACAGGGAGGGGGCCAGGAGGAGGCGTCTCACTGGCCCGGCGGCGCGGCCCAGAATCTGCCCGCAGCGCACTCCGCAGCGCTCATCGTGATGTTTCGGCTCGATGTCATGAGAGAGAGAGAGAGAGAGAGAGATCGGAGGTGGACAGACCTCCTACCTTGACACGTCGATTAAGGAATTGGCCGTTTTCGGTTCGCGAGGGGGCGTCGCGGCCGTCATTTTTGCGGGTCCAGGTCCGTCGGTTTCGGTCCCAGGCCGTTTTCACTAAAGGAAGGTTTATTAAAGGGAGGTTTGTCCACCGCCGAAGAGAGTAGCAGGAGGGGGGCCAGGAGCAGAAAGCACTTGGCAGAAACGGACGGGCAGATCGGGCAGATAGACGCTGACAGGCGGGCCCAGGCGGCCAGGTCGAGCAGGCGGGTTGCTGAAGCGTGCGTCCTGCATGAATCGTGAGGAAGCCTTGAGCGACAGCGCGATTCCAGAATAATTCTCGTGAGGAAATCTGAAGCGAGAGCGTGATTCCTGAATGTCGAGGGCGCGGCGCCTGAATCAATCGCGAGGAAGTCCCAAGCGACAACGCGATTCCTGAGTGTCGACAACGCGACGCCTGCATAAATTGCAAAAAAATGTCAGGCGACAGCGCGATTCTTTTTTTATCAATTGCACAGAAGTTCCTTTCGAGAGCGCGATTCTTCAATAAATTGCAAGGAAGTATCAGGCGGGAGCCGCTGTGGTTGTAAACCTGAGGCCATGGGCACAATTTGAGCAGGAAGATTTCCCTTTGAAAAAACATCGAGCCACGGGAGGGGCACTTCAAATGAAAAAAAAACACATTTGTTACGCGAATGCGTGAGTCTTGCATGAGGAAGTCTCGAGCAAGAGCGTGACGCTTAAGTAAATTATGTAGAAGTCTTAGGCGAGAGCGAGACTCTTGAATAGCGAGGGCGTGGCGCTTGAGTACATTGCAAGGAAACCACAAGAGGGAGCGCGATTCTTGAATAAATTGCCAGGACGTCCCGAGCGAGAGCGCGATTCTTCAACAAACTGCCAGGAAGTATCAAGCGGGAGCCGCTGTTGTTGTAAACCAGAGGGGCCGGGGGCGGAGTTTGAGGAGGAGGATTTGTTGTTAGCAACAGGGTGCGATCCCCGAGGGGAGCACTTCAATTGAGAAACGCATATGTTACCGGAGGGGGGGATCAACAAAAATATGTACAGCAACAGCACCAATAAGTTTAAGAATGTTCGTTTTTATCTGCTCGCGTGCCATTCAACACGTATATCCCAATCCCTCGATACCCACCCTCTTCGTCTTCGACGTTACCCCCTTAGGGGTATACGGTATGCCTTTCTTACTTGCAACGTGAATTGCACGCAGCCCCTACGGCAACGGAAGAGTGGACGGATGGAAAAAGGGACACGCGGCAGGGAGTAGGATGGAGCACGAGAAAAATTAACACGAGGGGGGCGAGGAGCATAAAACACGTGGTGGAACCAGACAGGCAGATCGGGCTGGCAGAAACTAGCGGGTGGGTCGGAAGGCAGTCCCAGGCGGCCAGGTCGAGCAGGCGGGTTGTTGAAGCGTGAGTCCAGCACGAATCGCGATGAAGTCTCGAGCGATAGCGCAATTCTCAAGTAAATCGTGAGATAGGTGAAGGCGAGAACGTGATTCCTGTTTGTCGAGGGTGCCGCGTATGAATAACTTGCGATAAATCGCGAGGAGGTCCCACGCGAGAGCGCGATGTCTGCATCGGTTGTGAGGCAGTCCCGCGCAAGAGCGCGATTTCAAAATACCTTGTAAGCAAGTATGAGGCGGGAGCCGTTTTGTTGTAGCAGGAGGGGCCTGGGGCACAACGAGATTTGTAGATTAAGCAGGCTGCGAGCCCCGAAAGGGGCACTCTATTTGAATAGCATTCAATACAATGTGCACCCGTGGGGGGATTAATCAAGAACGAAAGCTCCACAACAACAACAACAACAACAACAACCACAACAACAACGATAAAATTACCCTCACGCGCGATATTTCCACACGATGCATGCGACCATCATGATAACCATCCCCATCATGGGGGACTCTTGTTCTATAGCGGGGTCCGTTATTCCCATTCCCAGATATCCCGCCCAATGAGATATTGCAAACACCTCCTCCGAGGAAATTCAACATATCCCGCCTCGAAAACGCATGCCCGCGCCTTGCTGCGCCGATACGAAACCGCCAGTGGCTCCCCAGCCAAGGGTAAAGCACAAGGAAGTATCCAGCGACAGGGTTGCCTTGGTGGGGATGGGGACTGTCGGCGACGAGGCAAGGACCTGGCCCTGAATAGAAAGGGAGGACATCTCAAACAGGGCCGCTGTTGTTGCTAGGAGCGGCGCCAATGCTGAAGA